TAAAACAACTGCAGACCCACCTCTTTTCTCGCTTCAGCACTGCTCAGGCACAGCCTGACTTGGCTCGCCAGTCTTCCTGGCCACGTTTGAACATTTTGTCCTATGTAGCAGGCCCTGGAGAGAGAAGGAAGCATAGGTGGATCTGCCCCTGCTTATAATTGAATAGGAACCGCACCGCTAACACACACGTGGGGAACTGTGAGAGCAGGAGGCCTTTTAGTGCTGGTGTGCCCACATCCAGTTAGGTAGGAGCCAAGGGTCACCACTGAGCTGGGGGCTCTGAAGACCTTGCACAGTAGGTGGCGCTGTGGAGCCCGCGAGGCTGCAAAGGGCACAAAAGTTGAAGATGCAACCCTGAATGGGAACTGCTGATGTCAGCAGGATGCCGAGGGCTGCCGAGAGCCTGCCTTTCCTCTTGCTCAGATGTCCTGGGTAAGTGAGTCCAAGCACACTAATGATTCTTGTCTTAGGGTGAGAGAGAAGCCACACAACATGATCAGCTCTGTATACCCATCGCGCGTGGAGATCATCCTGTGGGGTGAGCCTTCCAAGGTACCAGTTCACACTGTACCCACGACATTTTCCCACAACCAAAGCCACTGACACTGGAGTGAAGAGACAGCTCACAAGGCAGGGATGAATGGACTGACCAGACTTGGGCGATGTGTTTCTTTTCTTCTGCTTTTTAACACTATGTGTGAGTTGCCAGCTGACTGTTGTTCTCTGTTCAACTGACTTTCAGCTCTAACCTGTTTCAGAGTATTGTGAAAATGTGTGAGTTTCTTTGTGTCCAGAATTCAACAACTGGTGTTTAAAGACCCCAGATTAGGAGACCGCTCAGCATAAATGTAATGTGTAACAAGGTATTTAGTTGTTTTCCAAAAGCATTTGGATGGCCATATGTATTGATATATGAATATTTGGAACATTTTGCTTCTGCTAAGTTCTGTGAGACACAGACAATCACTGTAAGAGCAGTCTGTCTGGGTTTATGGCCAACCCACACCTTTCTACTTCGATACTGGCATGGAATTGGCTTCCTAAGTCACCTGTGAGGAGCAGAAATATAAAACCAATTTCAAGTTTTCTAATTTTTTTCTATGATAAAATTTATGTGATTTGTGAACATTGGAGATCCCAAGATACAACAGGCAAAGGTTATTGGCTTGGACTGCCTTACCTCCAGGGACTCCATCTTACTCTTTCCGGGAATGGTGTTGCTTCCAGTCTCATGCCCTTCACCATGGGCCTGACACACCACACCCAAGCTTCTGGGATGACTGAGTGGAGGCAGAATATAGCATTGCCTCCCCATGGCCCAGGTATGGCAGGTGGCAGGCCAACTAGACAATGCTGCTCTTCTTGTTATTATTAGGTACTGGGACATGTGCCTTTATCATCTAGACAGCCATCCATGCATTTCGGATTCCATAGCAGCCCCTCTGAACCTCTACTTAGACACTAAAACATTTGGGTGATGAGGTTTGCACTTGTCCATACAGTTTCCAAAGCATGGAACCAGCGACGTTAATTACACATTTTCTATAAAACGTACCTTGTTATATTTCTGTGAACCACTCTTTCCCAGCACAGAATAACCATGGCTCAAAGATTGAGACAAGCAACCATTTTTAAATAGTTAATTGTTTCAGTGACTATAGGTGTAAGTTTGTTGGCAATAAAAGCTACTGTGAAAAGTGTCTCTGGCTTGTGTGATGGAGCTTACATTTGTATGTGCACAGCACATGTGTAGGGATTGGAGGGCAACTTGTGGGAGTCAGTTCTCTCCTTCTGTCATGTGGGTTCCGGGGATCTAACTCAGGCCCTCAAGTTCGGCGGCATGCACCATTGCCCGCTGAGCAAACTCACCGGCCCTGGATCTTGTTGGCGTCACATAAGACAGGAGAATAGATTGAAAGTTTTCTCCAGAAAGTGGGTGTTCTGCTTTTCCTCAGAAGAAAACACAGTGACTTGGCAGAAACACAAGATTCATACCAACTTTGCCATCTGGAACACAGATGGCTGTGGGCAGGTCAGAGTTGAGAGACAGGGGGAAGGCTGCACTGGGGACTTCTACCTACAAGTTATAACAATTGTAGTCTCCAGAACGTCACACCAAACACGGGTCCTCTTTGTGTGGGATGCAAGTTGGGGGCTAAGAGTTACCACTAGTAAGACAGAGAGCCAGTTCTGAGGGCTGGTGCTGACCAGCTTCCCCATTTTGCACAGAGGGCTAATGCCCTCTTCTTGGACAATGTTTTTATTTTTTATTTTATAATTTCTTCCCTTTAGGGGAGTTACTACCATTCTTCAAAACATGGGATATAGGCTGGAAATGGCTCCATGGGGATCCCCATTAACTCCCTAAAGCCACACTTGGCAAGTTTTGTCTATAATCCCAGCAGGAGGAAGACAGATTGCAGGGGCTCACTGGCCAGTCAGTCTAGCTAAACAGGCAGCTCAGGTTAGGTGAGAGACTCTGTCTCAAAAAATATGGTGGAGAGTGAGGCCTCTACTTCTGCATGTGCAGTAACACACATGTGTGTATACCAAAGACACACACCCTCACCACCAGGCTGCCAGCAACAGGAAAACGCTATCTACCCAGACTGGTAACAGCATCCAGCACACTAAAGCTTCGCTTTAGCATCATCTGTGAGATGGGGCTGAGGGATACTGGGACATAGTGACAGAGTTTCTAAATGTGGTTTATTCCTGAAATGCTGTGTGACCAGCACCAAGGGAGAAGCAAGACCACCCCCTTACACCCCTGTGTGTCTATTGCAAAGCAACAGCCAGTCTACCACACAGACCCCAAGAATGGGCTTCATATGAAATCTTTTGGTTTTATTTATTATTAATAAACATAAACTGCTAGTAGTAAAGGTTGCTCACAGCCCTGGGTGGGCCCCAAGTTCCTTGGTATCAGGCCACTTGTTTCCGACCATCAGGGTGAAGGCTTGGACACACTCAAAGTCTAAATGCTGTACAGGTAGCCAGCTAGTGAAAGCAATGCACACCAGCATCACGGGTGGTTGATCCGTTTTGGGTACATCAAGTGAGCACAATTAGATTTTAGTGTATTTTTAACTTCAATTGCTTCAAAGTCTGTCATGCTACAAAAGTCGTTGCCTCCTAGTGGGAACGGTGGGCACGGCTCCCTACAAGGGCTACAAAAGGAAAATAGGCATAGAATTTCCCAAGACTGAGTCATGCGACATGTGTTATTAATATTAGTGACCCAGGTCTGTGGCTTCAAAGCATTCCAGCTATGAAAGAGCATGTCCTCTAGCCCCTTTGTTCCCCCTCAACTCTCCTACACACTGGTCTTTTTTTTTTCTTCTTTTGTGCTTGTTTTTATTTGTTTGTTTGTTTTTGTTTTGTTTTCCTTAACCCAGCACCTTCAAGCTTTCCTTTCCCAGAAATGCCTTGGGTTTTTGTCAACACGTGTGACAAGAAAATAAGTTATTTTTTTCAGCGATGTAGAGAAGAGAGCAGATCGACAACCCAGCAGGACATCTTCTTGCCGTACTCTATATCCACCAGGAGTGACTCAAGGAAACTCTTTAGCCAGTCAGCCCATGGTTACCTAGGAGCCACGCAAAAGTCCCTAAGCAAGAGCAAATGCCGTCAGGTAACCAAGAGAAAAATCAGCTTTTAAAAGGCCCCTGGTGTGTAAAGGTTGCCCTTTCAGGGTTCACAAGGCAATGGTCTCTGATGATAATCAACTAATGGGGACCTCTGCTATGAGGTGCCCCCCGTGAGAGTTCTTTTGAAGGCTTCTCTGGGGTCATGAGTGCTGGCCAGCCCCCCTCCCCACTTTCCATCTGTGTGTCATGCGGCTGGAGTCCTTGAGGAGGGCAGTTCCGAGGTACCTTCTGAGCACTTTACAAGGTGGACGAAAGAACACAGGTCCAAGCGATGGGAGTGTCTGTCACGAGGGACTGGAGACTGTTCTCTGAAGAATGCACAGATAGCATGTCACACCTAGCCCGGCAGAGTCCTCTCACTCAGTGGTCCTGGTCAGGACTCACTGTGAGGGAGTTGAGAAACTTTGCTGACAGCTCTAGCTCCTTGCCAATGACAGCAAAGGGGATGCTTGCCATCAAGCTCTTCTGTGGAGACTTGAACTCATTATCACACAGTTGAAGGACTAGCTTGTAAACCTCACTGCTGGAAATCCAGTCCCTTGCAATGGAGACCCACAGTGGAGAGCACCTTGCCTCTTCCTCAGGGGCTCCTCTTTCAGTGGTCGACCAGGGGTCTGAGACATCCTGGCTGGCTTTTCTGTCATTTTCAGAAATGCCCAAATCATCAGATAATTTGGCTTTCAGATGTGTTTAAGCTTATGCACGGGACACAGGAATGTGAGGGTAGGACACACACATCTGAGCTTCTCTTGGGGAGGCTTTTGAGAATACAGAGCTCTTAAGTTACTAATAACTTTTCACTACTGTGAGCTGGAACACCAGTGCCAGAGGACTGGGCAGGACATGTCACCCTTAGCACAGGGTGACCTTGAACCCGGCACAGCAGTGGAGGCAAGTTTGGAGAAACAGTTACATAGCAGTGTGGAGGACTGATACTTCATGCGGGTTCCATCTGGGGAAACCTGGTGTACACATACTACGCAACACAGACACAGACAAACACATACACGAGCACCCATGAAAATATGAATCTATGAAAAATAAATGTAGTGTGAAAATAACAAAACGTCATCCCAAGGTGCACTGTGCATAGCACATCACCACCTGCCTCTCCCTGGACCAGGGAGAGCGGCATCCAAAGGCAGTGGATGATGTCAGCAGCTTGGTACATTCAGAAAGATGGAGCCTGCGACAGGCAGGGCACATCCACGCCCAGGCTGAAATGTGTTGGTGATTCCTCGGGTCCCCTCCTCAGGAGACGCCCACGCTGTGGCCGCGTCAAGCAGACCTCCAAAGCCAAGGTCTCTAAGAGCCCACATGGAAGTAATGCATGCAATAAATAAGCGTGACTGAAGAGCTGGCCCTCTGGAGACGGTCACTTGCAGAGGACTCCATTTTGAAGCTGTCTGTTTCTGTCAGAGATGCAGGTAGCAGTGGTCACATGGGGCAGGTCTTCCTTGACCTTTGGGGAATGGCTGCTGTTGTTACTGGAGCTTGATTTACTTCTGCTTGGGTCAAGAGCAGGCTGCATGGGTGAGGCCTGGGTCCCCTTGCCCCTGACTAGACAGCTACACACCAGCCGGAAGAAGGCACGCCTCATCTCTTTGCTGGCCAGGGTGTAGATGACAGGGTTCATGGCAGAGTTGAGGACAGCCAGCATGATGAACCACTGACTCTTGAACAGGATGGGGCACTCCTTCACCCTGCAGGCCACATCAATGAGGAAGAGGATGAAAAGGGGGGACCAGCAGGCGATGAACACACTCACTACTATCACGACAGTCCGCAGCAGGGCCATGGATCTCTCCGAGTTGTGGTTGGCCACCCTTCGGCTGCTGGACTTGACCAGGAAGTAGATGCGTGCATACAGGATGACGATGGTCACTAGAATGGCTGTGAAGATGCTGATGAGGAAGGCAATGTACTTCTTGGAGTAGAGGGGCAAGATGGTAGAGCAATCGGGAAAGTTCTCCAGGCAGTTCCAGCCCAGGATGGGCAGGGCGCCCAGCGAGAAGGCAATCAGCCAGCACATCCCAATCAGAAGGAACACCCGGTGCTTCTTGTTGGCATCGTAGGGCCTCATCTTGATCATGGTCAGGTGCCGCTCAATGGCAATGGCTAACAAGCTGCAGGTGGACGCGCCGAGGGCCACGAACATACTGCCCTCCCGCAGGAACCACACTGTCGGAGACAGGCTGAACGTCTTCCTGCCGGACATCAGAATGTTGACCTTGTAGGCTATGCCGGACAGCAGGTCACAGAGAGCCAAGTTGCCAATGAAAAAGTACATGCGGTTGTGAAATTTATTGTTTTTCCAGATGGCAATCAGAACCATCAGGTTCTCCAAGACGATGAAGCTACAGGTGACCAAGAAGAGGATGGTGGTGATAGGGGTGCTATCATCAGGAGGGTCCTGCCTGCCTTTCAGCTTCCCCACGTAATCGTAATGTTTGCGGAGAGTATCATTTCCTAAGATGGGCTGGTGGGCCTGCGCATGCGTTGCCATGACGGCCTAAAGACAAATGGTCACCTCAGCAGTCCACCAGAGGGCGCTCCAGGAACGTTCATTTCAGGGAACAATTGGGCCGGTGGTGGTGGATTCCGGAAGGCGTGCAGGCCTGGATCCAGCAAGAGTGTAGAAAATAGGATCTGTAAGGAGATGAAAGAAGGAACCTTGGATCAAGTGATCTCCGTGAACCGACCCTCAGTGTGGAAAACGCTAACACGTTTGGAAGGCTGGTGTTCAGGAAGGGTTGGGACGCAGGCCATGTGTGTAAGATAGAGAGCAGGGAAAGCTGTTAGGGTCCTGGAGCTGTCACAGAAGAAAACCTCAGTGTGCGAATCTGAGAACCACGAAACTAAGGAAGAAGATGCGAGTGAGCTTCTACTTGGAAACCTCCAGGCACCAGGAAATACTGAGTTAGTTCTCACCCACCTTGTGGGAGCTGGTAAACCACTATTCCCAGCTGCAGAGAGAATCAGATTTTCTCAGGATGAGAAAAAGGGAGGGGAGGAGGGAGAGAGGAAGAAAGGACAGAGGGGACGATGGGGTGGGGGAGGAGAGGTGGAGAAAATCAGCACAGAGTAGGGGGAATGGTGGCTGAGGAGTTCTGAGTCCTCCCGGGTGAGCTTTGGGGTGACCCGATGGAAAGCACCCCATACTTCCTTGGACCAAGTCCCTTGAGGTCTGGATGGGCCTTTGGCCCACCTGGCAGACAGCCTTATGGCCTGACCACACAGGCAGGGCAGGAAGAACAGCCCGAGGCTGAGCAAGAACCCTGCGGCCACTGCACCCAGCAGAGCCCGGGGAGGAAGGACTGCGAACCATCCTGGAACCAGCTGCCCCTGAGGTTAAAGGAAGAAGGGGAGAGAGGGAAATGCCATGAACTTTGAGTGTGGCTTGAAATGCTGAGGTCTGAGCTGGGAGTATTAATTAACATATTCACAGTGCCTGAGGCAGGCAGCTCAATCCTGCAAGTCCCTTTCTGCTCTTAGCCCTCCTGGTGGTAGTGGTGGTGATGGCGATGGACCTCCTCCTTCTTCTGTTTTGTCAGAGGGTGTCATGTAACCTAGCCCCACCTAGAAGTTGCTGTGATGACCTTGAACTTCTGACTCTCCAGCCTCTGCTTCCCAAGGGCTGAGATGACAAGCTGGAGCCGCCATACTTGGTCTTATGCAGTGCTGGGGATTGAACCCAGAGCCTCTTGACTACTAACTAAACACTCACCCCAGCCTACCTCTCCAAGATTTTTATTTAAGCCTTGTCTGTCTGTCTGTCTGTCTGTCTGTCTGTCTGTCACATTCTATTCATCTTATGGCTTCTTCTAGGGTCAGGGCAGCCCCTATGACCTTTCCTCAAGGCTGCTGCCACTTGAAGAAGGACATTGCAAGCTCTCATTTAAAGACTAGAAATTATAAGCAGCGACAGTTTTCTGAGGGGCAAAGATCTACCTGACAAAAGCAGCTTAGGAAAAGAAGGGCTTATTTGGCTCACAGAAGTTCGTTTCCATGCTGATTCCAAATGTCACCGAGTCGATAGTCAAGATTAGAAGACGGGAAATGTCATCGTCATGACCAGTGTCCAGCCTCATGTCCTGTGGGGGCTGTCCCCTGTCACAGCAGCTGTCACAGTTCCTCCAGATGCTGGGGGACGTCTCCCACACTATGCTCTGTCCCCATCACATGACTGACTGTGCCATCCACAAGGCCACAATGTTCAGGTTTGTCTCAAAATGTCCCTGGGCTACCTGCTCTGCCATCAAGGGGCTTCTGTCCCAGGAATGGACACACAGTCTGAAGCCTGGATTACAGCGCAGGTGTAAACTGATATTCAGCTCCAAGAGAGTAAGTAAACTCAGAGTGTACACGGGCACACATGTGTGGAAGCCAGGGGTTCATTTGGGGTGTTGTCCTCAGATGCTGCCTACTTTGTTTGTTTGTTTGTTTGTTTGTTTTGAGACAAGGTCTCTCGCTGGCCTGGATCTTGCCCAGTAGGCTTGACTGGCTGGGCAGAGAGCCCCAGGAATCCTCCTGTCTCTGTCTCCCCAGAACTGGGATTACAAGCATCTACCACCACACCCTTCTGCTTCTCCTGAGTTCTGGGAATTGAACTCAGGTCCTCATTTGTGAGAGTCGAGCTTGTTATCAGCTGAGCCATCTCTCTAGCCCTCAGATGTTCTTACATCAACTCAGCTTCTCTCCTGTGCCTCGATTTCCCAATCTCCCACAACGCTTGACACACCTCATCACTCCCTGGAAAGTTTGGGCTTTTGCCTCAAGTGTGAGCAGAGGGGAAGAGAACCAGTCTGGACTCCCTCTAGGAGAAGCAGAATGTGAAGTAACAGGGAGCTCAGCAAGAGCACATAGAAGGTTGAGCAGAGAGAAAGAAAAACAAGTGAGCAGTAAAAGCAAACACCTAGCAATTAAATAACCACAATAAAAATGAGAGTAGACACGCCAGGACTTGTGAAGGCCAAAGGCTAGTAGGTTAGCCCACTTTGCCACCAAAGCTTGGATGATAGTTCCCTTAATTAAAACTCATCTCTCAAGAGCTGAGATTTTATAGCACATCTTTTGTTAAATATGATTCTCTGCATTTGCAATTTGAAGCTGTCTTTCTCTTTGGGACCTAAACATATATTTCCTCTGCTTTATCAATATCACACAGCAGGCCACATCCTGGGAGCTAAGTCCTGGACTAAACACCAGGTGATTTGGGATACATCTTGGTGTCACATCTTGGTGTGGACAGAAGCAGTTCACAGAAGTTCTTTCGTCTGTTCCCAAGGGGTGCCACTCACAGACCTCCGCTTTGCTAAAAGATAGCCTGAGCCTTGGGTATCAGTGGAGCTCTTTGTAGGACTAGGCATAGTGTCTCAGCACTGTCAGCAAGTCACCACAGGGTGCACCAGGAAGCCAGCCTGACCCACACCACACAGACAACCAAAACACCCTGAGACCAGCACTCAGATCAGCAACACATGCCAACAACACAACCCGGGTGTGTGTGTGTGTGTGTGTGTGTGTGTGTGTGTGTGTGTGTGTGTGTGTGTGTGTGTGTTTGTATGCATGCATGTGTGTGTATGTCAGTCATGGTGTCATGGTTACCACTGTCACCCAGTGTGACCACTGCCTGGGTTTCCCAGCCCAAGTGAATTTATTCTGTATCTTCCAGTATATAAATGAGCACATGGATGCCCCATCTGGTGTGTCTCCCTCCCCAGGGTGCTCATGTTAAGTAGGTTTGTGGATACAGCCAAATCCTTCTTGCTCACAATCAATTGCGTGTCTGCACATCACCCTCTACTGGGTCTGACTTACAGACAAGGGCAATTTTCCCTCGGCCAGGTATTGTTTTTCACACAGTCTTTTGTTGAACAGGTGTCTCCATCTTTGCCCTTGGGTCCTAAGGGGCACGCTGGTATAAAGGGTGGGGATGTAACCACGGCCTGGAAGTGTTGGTCTCTCTGACAGGTAGCTGTCCAGCTCTGCCTGTGAAATGGGTCAAGGTGGATGCAGCAGGCAGCCTTACATTTTACTTGGGGAAGCAGTGACCCTGTAAATTGGACTGCTGATTCATTTCCACTGGAATGAAAGGAAGCTCCTGGCTGGGGATGTGGCTCAGAGCACTTTCTGCAAGGGCTGAGAGCCTGGGTTTGAATCCCTAGGTGGCATGTAAAGCCAGGCATGATGGTGACTTCTGAAATCCCAGCACTCCCACACAAGATAGGAGATGGAAGAATACCCAGATTTGCCAGCAGATGGGCTAGCCTGGTATACACAGCAGTGAACAACAAAAGAGACCTTGTCTCAAACAAGGTGGGAAGCAAGGACTGACACCCGAGCTTGTC